CCCGCCCGGCGGGCTCGGCCGAGGCACGCCCCTGGCCTCCCCGCGGCGTGCGACTCGCCCGGGTGCCCAAACTCCGCCCACCCCCGCGGGGAGCCCTGCTCTCCTGCCTGCCCTTGCACTTGGGACTCGGTCGGGCCTCAGGAAGGGCTCCGAGCTGCGGCCACGCGCGCTCCGATGGCCCCCAGATGCTGAGCGCAGGGTGGGCGGAGGGAGCGGCGCGGCAGCCCGAGGACGGTCTGCTTACTTCCAAGGCAGGAAGGAGGAAGATGCGCGAACGAAGTTGATCTTCGGGGGAAGGAGACCGGGGAGCACCCTCCCGTCGCCGGAGCGCCGCGGAGCGAATTTGACTCGACCTCGCTGCGCCTCGAGCGCGCTCTGCAGCGCGGACCCGCGGCCCCTCGGGAAAGCGCAATCGGAAAGTTGCCGGCGGCGGTGCCCTGCGCGCCCTGTTGTGTAACCTCGGCGCTGCCAGCCGGACGGGGAAGTTGCCGGCCCCGGGCGGATTTCATGGCCCGCGGCGCACGCGGGGCCAGAGCCGGCGTGGGTGAGTCCCCGCGCGTCCGCTCCCGCAGGGACCCCCCGAGCCCGCTCCTTTCTGCTCGCCGGCTTTTCCGATGCTCGCTGCTCCCCGTGTCGCCGCCGCCCTCTCGCCGCCGCTTGCCCCTCGGAGGCGCAGCTTAAGTCGGGGAGGAGAGAATGACCGAGGTGCTGTGGTTGGCAGTCCCCAACGGGACGGACTCTGCCTTCCTGGCCGGCCCGGGCTCGCCATGGGGGAATAGCACGGTCGCCTCCACCGCCGCCGTCGCCGCCTCGTTTAAATGCGCCCTGACCAAGACGGGCTTCCAGTTCTACTACCTGCCGGCTGTGTATATCCTGGTGTTCATCATCGGCTTCCTGGGCAACAGCGTGGCCATCTGGATGTTCGTCTTCCATATGAAACCGTGGAGCGGCATCTCCGTGTACATGTTCAACTTGGCTGTGGCCGACTTCTTGTACGTGCTGACTCTGCCAGCCCTCATCTTTTACTACTTCAATAAGACGGACTGGATCTTTGGGGATGCCATGTGCAAACTGCAGAGGTTCATCTTCCACGTGAACCTCTACGGCAGCATCTTATTCCTGACGTGCATCAGCGCGCACCGGTACAGCGGCGTGGTGTACCCGCTCAAGTCTCTGGGCCGGCTCAAGAAGAAGAACGCGGTGTACATCAGCGTGCTGGTGTGGCTCATCGTGGTGGTGGCGATCTCCCCCATTCTCTTCTATTCGGGCACCGGGGTCCGGAAAAACAGGACCATCACCTGCTATGACACCACCTCAGACGAGTACCTGCGAAGTTATTTCATCTACAGTATGTGCACGACCGTGGCCATGTTCTGTGTCCCCTTGGTGCTGATTCTGGGCTGTTATGGATTAATTGTGAGAGCTTTGATTTACAACGACCTGGACAACTCGCCTCTAAGGAGGAAATCGATTTACCTGGTGATTATTGTACTGACTGTTTTTGCTGTGTCTTACATCCCTTTCCATGTGATGAAAACAATGAACTTGAGGGCCCGGCTGGATTTTCAGACCCCAGCAATGTGTGCGTTCAATGACAGAGTTTATGCCACTTATCAGGTGACAAGAGGTCTAGCAAGTCTCAACAGTTGTGTGGATCCCATTCTCTATTTCTTGGCGGGAGATACTTTCAGAAGGAGACTCTCCCGAGCAACCAGGAAAGCGTCCAGAAGAAGTGAGGCAAATTTGCAATCCAAGAGTGAAGACATGACCCTCAATATTTTATCCGAGTTCAAGCAGAATGGAGATACAAGCTTGTGAGGGCACAGGAATCCCCAAATACCATGGTAGGATGCTTAAAAGAGCCACGTGCTTTTTTTCTGCTTTAAGTAAACTAACTAGAAGCAAGTTTAGAGAAAATTCAAACCAAGAAAGTAGTTGAGCTAAAAAAAAAAAATGTAGAAATGACCACATCCACACTTACCTTGTTTAGGTTTGCTTTGAAACTCTCCTTTTATTGTCTGACTAGAAGTATATATAATAAAATAATGCTATCTAGTTCAACGTTCACTTTCTCTTCTGCCTTTAAAATTTACAAGCTTTTCTGTGTAAAGTGTGTGTGCACATTAGTACTGGAGTTATTTTGATATTAATAATTTCTCCAAGAAAACTAGGCACCTGAAACTTGAGTTTGTGATTTGTCTAATCTTTACTATTTTTAATAATCTGTGGTAGGAACAAATGGAAAATCCACATTCTCAAAAATGTTTAGTATCGTATAACAACATATTAAACTCAGTTCATTCAACACCAGATGAACAGATTTCCAAGCTCGATGTCTTTTCTGGTGTCTTATAAGCATAGATAGTAGCTGAGTTTCTTTGGGGAATTGAATAGAAAAGTAAAGTTAATGAATTTAAAAGCCAACAGTGATTATTTTCCAGTTATTTCTGGAAAACTGCTCATTATATGTTGGTTGCTAAATGTTGTGGGAAGCCTGCATATATTATCTTACTGGTAAAATACCTTCAAAGTAATCAAAGTGCATGTATTTTCTTTGTAAACACCATAAACTCTCTTAGACTTCCTGTGATAAAGAGCATTTACTTGCCCTGCTGCTGTGCAATGCCTTAGGACTTTGTGTTCCAGGACAAGTACTTACTCACATCTGTAAAAACAATTTTTAAAAAATCACAGCTATATTAAAAACCAAAGTTTGAATAAGGTTGAATAACTGTTAGCCGGTTGAGGGATACTGGGCAGGAGGATAGTATTTTCAGAAGGGGGTGTTTGACCATCATTCACAATATGTAGCCTACAAGTATACTCTTAGATGTATGAGGCAACTAGGAATGGGGAGAAGACATTTTAGAATAAGGACTTTGGTTTAAATTAAAATCATGCTGAAAAACACTCTTTTTGTTTCTTCAGAGTGCTTGAAAACATTAAACGCAATATGGAAAGAAGGAGAAGTAGGCAGAATTTGTACAGGTTGTGTTGATAGAATGGGGAAGCTGTAATCCTTTAGTGAATCTTACGTTCGAATATTTAAAGAAAAAAACATATGGAAAGAGAAATATGGAAAATTAAATTTAAGTACTTAAGATACCACAGCACTGAAAAGTAAGCTGTAGAAAGTACTAATCAAACTACTAATAGTTAAAGAGAAGACTACTGGTTAGTGTTTTCTTTTATATTTATTCTCTGCCAGGCATTAATGAAAATTTTGTGTGATATTTCAACAACTGTAATAATAATCTTCAATGATATTGAATTGCTACATTTCTAGCCCTTGAAATGGTCAAATTCTATATAATTAGAATAATGAGGTAAGGTTAACACAATTAATAACCCCAAAGAAACCCCAAAATAAATCCAGTGTCAAAGGAATTTTTAGGTGTGAAAGCTAGCCCCCATAAAGCTGTCATTGTAGTTTGCAACTGATGGAAAACTAACTTGTCTGAAAACATCTTATAAGTAAAGAAATGTGAGCTGTATGTAAGATAAGAAAGAACCTTAGTGCCCTTTGGGACATAATGACAGGAAATTCAGGGCTTGATTTAAGTTCTTACAATGCCCAGGTAGATGGAGGATTTGTGAGATCTTCAGAGTTGTTTTAATTTACCCAATCTCTGACCACCAAGATCAATGAAGAAAATCTGTGTTTGGCTTTCCTAAACAGTGGGGTTTTTTACATGTTAAGGCTTAGTGCATAAGATTATAGAAACCAAATCAAGGAGAAACCTATGACACCTCCTTTTGAGGAAAGAGGGTTAGCAAAGTTTTCACTTGATCAGGCTCATACAATGTGGTCTGTTTTAGAATCCTAAAAGACAAAATCTAAAATATATCATTACTGTATTGACTCTGTCAAATGTATGTTCAGTGAGACAATATCAGTATCATTAAACTGACCGAAATGGAAATTCCAGAGCCTGTACCATACTTGAACTCACAGCCTGATGGTAGACATGTCTGTATTTCCTCACCATTTACTTTAGTTTTCTCCTTTTAGGTCTCAGGATGCGCAGCCTGGTTTAGAGTATGTGTTAAGTACATTGTTTCAGCTTCCAGAGAACTTTCTTTGGGAGTGTGGATCCAGTAAGGCAGTGGACAGTGACTACAAGTGCCCTTTTACTACTTGGCATGTTCCTTCCAAAGTGTTTCTTTAGCTGCATTCACCACATAGTGGACAACAATGACATGTGAATGCATGCTAAACAGTGACGAGAATGATCTTGCCAACTCCTTCCAGGCCAAAAGTAGTCTCTGGAAGATCTGTGCCAATATACAGAGGGTCAGGAGGAAGCCGTGATCTATTGGCTGAACAGTTGGTTCATGCCATAGGACGATATGAGTTAGTATTTTAATAGTAAAGGCAGAAATCTGTTGGCATTGGGATGAAATAACAGCCAAAATTGTAGAACTTATCGACTAAATTTTACAATACAAAATATTTTAATGCCAAGTTCAAGGTATTTTATGGCTTACGAATTGACATCTTTGATTTTTGGAACATCAATTTGTGCTTACATTGAAAAAATAAAAAGACAAACTAAGAAGAAATAGAGCATGTGAGTCGGAATTCAGAGTTAAAACCATGACGTTGCCACTCCACTAGCTGTTGGATTCTCGACCCTTTCAAGACCACTCTTCATGGATTGAGAAGGTGGGGCATCCATTTGTTGGGGCTTTAGGGGATGTGGTAAAGCAAGAAAACTAGACAGCCAGGAATGCATGAAATCTGCCACTGTATTTTCCAAGACTTTTCAATCTAGTTTGGCTAAAAAAATCTTACAAGATTGGTTCATCAATTGTGATGTGGACCTGTGACCTATAAGTCTTCTCCATCTACTCAGACAAGATGCTAAACTGTCTCTGGATACTACAGATGTCAGTGCATAAAGCAGCTGGAATTCAGTTAGTGACAGTACTTAAATGTGTGATACTAGTTAGGATCTATTGAGGCTTTAACTTTGCTGGTCAAATTTTTGTAACTATCATAATAGTATTTATTGATGAAACTCACAGTTCTTCAGTTGTACAGATTGAAAAACTTTCTTGAAAGATCCAACATACTGATGTAAATTATATTTATTACAATGTACAATATTAATGTCACACTGGTATATTTTACATAATATATGATACATATATAAAATGAGAGTTATGTGTTATGTTGCTTTTCAAATACGAAAATCTTGAAATGTTTAAATCTTCAGAGTTTTTTTGGTCTAAGATATGAAAATCTGTTTCATGATACAAGTGATTAATTTTCTCCAGAAATGCTTTTGCATGTTTACCTTTTTATTTAGGATTTTTCTCACTATTTGGTGTCAGACTATCATAAAATGAATAGTGAATATAAAATATATTAGTCAGACTGGGTCTTGTATTGGCTACATTTTATATACATCATAGGAAAGTTCATATTGTCTTAAGGTTTGGAATTGTGCCCCCAAATACGGTCATAGCTTCCATTTCCAAATGCCAAAGGCTGGTCTTATAATGGGATGGGCATTATAGGTACAGGATTAGAATTTAAGAGCTTTAGGGAGATGGGGAGAGGCAGTAGGTGCAGTTACTGCTCTCACTTTAACTTACGTTTTTGCATTGTGTTTCATCTTAAGGTAAAATAGTGCACTCTTAATTTTTTAAGATGGAGTTTTAAGTAACATTAAGTAACACTACCAGCAATTCAACACTCTTATTGATTTTAGTCTGTTTTCTTTATTCAGTTGGTAACTTTAATTCCAAGTTTTGTAGTGATAATTGTGTATTTGGCTGCTGAATTCTGTTACAGTTTTTTATTCTGTTGTATGTTGTATTACACACACCATCACAAATTAATATGAAGGGGAATACATGTTACTTGTCAAAATTTGTGAATTTGAATTGTAGTATGTTTTAGTGCTTTTCCAAAAAATGTTTATTTTTATATTACAGTGATTTTAATATAGATAATTGAACTAGATTTCTTTGTGATTAATATTGCCATTGATTGAGCGATATGGAAACAGTGTTACTTGACATTTTGAGTTTTCTCAGGTTTATCTAAATCAGTGGTAGCTTAATGAAATCCAGAGTAATTGTGTAATTGTGTTTTTAGTAAAAAGAAAGTACATTTCTTATAATACTATAGTATTGTTTGCATGCAGGAATATGCAAAAATATTGTGTGTGTGTGTATGTGTGTGTGTGTGTCTGTCTAAGCATGGCAGCCAACTTTGTATCTGCTATTAATAGTAACAGCAGAACTTCCTAATTGTGGTCACTAGAATTGTACTTACCGTAGACAATTAAAACTGAAAAAGACTCAATAAAATTATGAAACATAGTTCGATGTCTTTGATGTTATTACAGTGTTAATACTCAAAGGTTTCCCCAAATTTTAACACATAATGTTATACAGACTGGCAAGTACTGTAGAACACATTGAACTAACTTACATATTTTTAAAGGTACAGACTGGACTGGAAAAACTATAGTGTTAAGGAAAGGATTGTGGTGCAAGATAATTGATAAGATTATCACTATTTGATATTTAATTACCAATGGGGACGTGATCTAATTCTTTAAAGCAAACTACTGAATGCTTTACATTACATATACCTTATTTCTCATACTAGTGTTTTGTGTTTAGTGTTGGCTGTAATCTTTTCTTATGTAATTTTTAATCCATGGAGGTAATCATACTAATAATCTTTTGTGGTTTCTATTTATTAGCCTACATTGCCTGGTTCCTCCAGGTATGTTTAAAAAAAATGTATCTGGTGCTGCAGTGAAAACAGTGTATAATGGAATGGAAGCATGCTTAAAGAATTACCTTATTTTTCTCTGTGGAGAAGGTAAGTGCACAATAGTCCTGTGTTGGGTTTTCAGGTTGTCTGCTGAGATAGATGCCCTGTAATAGAAACCTGTGGGTAGAAAATGCAAATTTCTTGCAGCCCTTAAGATAGGTATCAGTCAGTATTAACTCCTTAATTAGATGTACTCTCCAGACTTCACCCTTTGGAAATCCTTACTTATTAACGTCAACTTTGGTAGAGTTTTGTGGATGTGTATTTGTGTGTGTGTGTCTTTATTTAGTGCATTTATAGAATTTATACAGATAATCATCTTTCTGATTTAAGAAGAATTTACCCTAAAGCTTTGAGCACCTTTTGATTTTCTAAATCACTTTCAGATTAGACTCAAAGAATCTTTTCTCTCCACAAATTAAAATGCATTTTAATTTCCTCTCACTATAATGAACTAGAAAATTTATACTGTATTTTTAAGAGGTTTTGAATTTTTCCCCCAAATGTGGTCAGAGCTTCCATTTCCAAATGTCCTAAATTCAAAGTAATCTATTATGGTTTAGAAATCTGAGGGCATGATAGTCACCAGAAATTCATGTTAATGTTAACCCTGTGCTTACTTGCTTAACCCTGCAAGGTTATACTGCTTTGCATTGGGTTCTGCTGTCTGACATCCCCAGCCAGCCTGGCTGATGGGACCCACAGCCCACACAGCAGCGGTGGATGGAGTCAGACGCCTGGACTGAGCAACTGGCAGCACTGCAGCCCCTTAGGAATGGAAGTGGGTGGGGGTAGGGGCATGGGAGCAAAGTGGGGTACTGCAAAGAGGGAAGAAATGCACTGCCTTTCCTGATTACCTGATGGAGAGAAATTGCCTGTGTGAATGTGGAAAGTCCTTGATGATAGACTAAAACAGATAGAGACCTAGGGATAATTCAATTCCATCATCTTGGTTTGCAAGTGAGAGCAAAATTTTCGCATTTAAAGGTGGACCTAGTGAGAAGGCAGTATTCTCACTCCTACCAAAACATTCCTCCCACCTCCCAAGGCTCTACAAACTATTGGTCTTGACCCAATAATGGGTGATGAAATCACAAAATGAAATTTAATAGAATAGAGCAGAATCCAAACTCAGTGTGTAAGGCTTTGTGATTTTAATTTTAGACACATACATACACAACACAATACATATGAGTATATAGGTATTTACAGGTACTTACGTCCTGAGTCAAATTGGACATTTTCTTATTGTGGACATGGTCAAAAAAGTTTGAAAATTCTCCACTACTCTACTTAGTGAACAGTGGCATGGAGTTAAAAGAATTTTGAATGACGGAGTGTTTTTCAAAACTATTTTTAAATAAAGGCAAAGATTCTTAGTTGCTAATTTTGTTACATGTAGTTACTCTCTTTTTCTTTTAATGTTATTTTCTTCTGAATATTTGATTTGGAATTCCAAAAGAAATTATTAAAGCATCATCTAGACTACATCTAAGGATGGCTATTTGTAGTTAAAGACAGTGTAATTGAAACTCACATATATGTAAACTTTGATAACTTCCTTTCTTATACTATTTCCTCTGGTTTGAACAGTTAACAGCAGAATAGCAAACTTCCACTGTGTTTAAGAGTATTCACTTTGTGGTCAAAAAGCCTTAGGTTTAAACCCACCTCTGTTACTACTTGTATATCCTGGGCACATTATTTAAACCCTTGCAGCTGCTTGTGCCTCAACTATAACATGGGCATCATAATATGTGGTTCATAGGATGTTGGAAGAATAAAATGAAATAAAATATGCAAAGCATGCCACATAATACATACTCAATAAATGGTGGGTGTGCCTTTCTTGAAGCCACTAAAGATTTTGTCAGTCCATCTGCTGTTTTGTTGTTAGTTCTAAATTTCAGTTGTCTTCTCTCATACTGTGGAGGTGTTGTGGGTCTTCTAGAAATCCATGTTGGATTGAGAGATTGTTTGGGTACTTTAAATTGTTCTTTTTGACACTATATATTTTCAGATAATAAGCACGTATTCAACTTTTTGATACTTTGTTATATGCACTATGTGGGACAAAGACTCATAAGACAAAGTATGTACAGCTAAAAATATATTAACGAGAAGGTCTGCTGGCCTCTTTTTCTGGACCTCACCTCAGAGGTTCATGGTTTATTTTCAGTCACCACAGTCTAGAGTCTGGTCTTCAGTCTTTCAGGTCCAGAGACTTGATCTCAAAAGTTCACCTAGAGTTCACCAACTCTGGAGGACTGATTCACACCAAGGAAACTGACAAGAAAATCATTTACTAACAGATTGCCATTTTATGAGTATACAATGGCTATATGCCAGTCACAATAACAGATATCTGCCTTTTTGTTCAAGGGGCTCTTATTATGAATCAGAAGGTTGCCCACAGATCTTAAAGTAAGAATAAAGAGAAGTGGTATTCTTGAAAAGCATTTTCAGTAAGATAGAGCAGCTGAAAGAATTGCCTGTCTCTGGAGATGTTAGTCTTAATCATCAGCATCTACCCAGTACTCTGCCTGCCTGGGACAGCTTAGCAGCACATGGATTGAACATTTCACATTTTCTTATTTTCTTTTAAAATTGGTCACCACCATCATTACTTCTTTGCATGCAAATTATGTTTCAGTAATATCTCCCACCTGGTGAGTGTGGGACAGGGTGGTGGCAGAGAGGGATGCAGGGCCTGCTGGACTGGAGATACTTGAAAGCCATCCAGTTGGAAAGGTGCAATATTGCATTGCAAATGCCATTTCAGAGTTCAGGGCAAAGTTACAGCAAGAGATCGAGGTTTATGAATGTCCATGTGAGAATCACAGCTGTAACCAAGGAAACAGGTGCAGTCATCCAGGGACTACTTGGAGACACAGAAGGAAAAAGGGGCAGCAAAGGAGGAGGGGACAGTGAGCTATGAGTAACACTACCAACAAGGGTGGGATGGACAAAGAACACTGAAAAGGAAGAATTAGAGTCATGGAAAATCCAGAACAGCCCCCTGAAGAAATCAGTCTCAGGAGAGAATTTTAGGGAAGAGGTGATTCTGTATCACTTTTTTTTTTCCTTTTTGTCTTTTTTCGTGACTGGTAACGGGATCGCAACCCTCAGTGTCGCACCCATACCACGACTGGCAACGGGATCGCAACCCTCAGTGTGCGCCCGCACCACGCTCAACCAGTGAGCGGACCGGTCTCTATATGGGATCCGAACCCTCGGCGAGTGCTGCCGCGCTCCCAAGTGCCGTATTCTACCAAGTGCGCCACCGGGCCGGCCCTCTGTATCACTTTTTACCAAAAGACCACAAACTATCTGATTTGTTGATTATATAGCATTGGTGCTATTGAGGACACACCTAACTATTTAAAATAGTAATTATTACTGATCACTAAAGAAGTGTTTTGGTGAAGAGAAGGAGGATTATAGGTTAGTAGCTTGAGGCAGAGAGAGAGAGAGATTAGAAATAGAAAAAGGGATAAAGAGGGGGATTGCTTGAAGATGCTAGAGCAAACAAGCTCCCTGTGGAAACTGCAGTAGATGGACGAGGTCAACAGGACAAAGCAGAAGGGGAGGTCTAGGAAAAGGGTCTCTGGGGTTACTGAAGTTGAACGGCAGTAAAGGCCATCACGAGCAGAGGAGAGCCCTAAATACAAGGTGAGGACATTGGATGGATCACTGAGTGACAGGAAGAGTGTAGGAGCTGAGTAGAGGACACCGATTTGAAGCTTGGTGGATGAGAGCATGAGTTAGGAGGCAGCCAAGAAGGATTAGTTGGCATTCTCAAAAGAGACATTTATGTGGAGTGGAAGAAGCATAAGAATCACGCAGTGGTGGAAGAATGCCTGTCCCTTTTCTGGTGTGCAGAGGTAGCCAGATAGCAGAAATGGTGTCTATTGGGAAAAGGAAAGAGGGAAATATTTTCCTGGGGAGTTGTCAGGAGGTTTTGGTAAGAGAAAGTTGAGGATACAGAAGTTTCCTTTGGAAAGAATTATGTCTCCAGAATACATACAAAGAGAGGGTAAGAAGTGGGGTCAGCAGAGGTGGGAAATGGGGAGGAGAGATTAGCAAGAAATTCGTGAAGGGCCACAAAGGATGATCACATTGTATAGTGTTGAATATACTAATTATCCTCATTTGAGCATCACATATTGCACACAGGTATTGATAGTCAATGCTGTACCCTGCAGACACATACCGTCAATCATATTTCAATAAAAAAAGGAAGAAGAAGATGTGGGGTCAGGAAAGGGAGACAAGCCTGGAAGGGGGATGAGAGGGGAATGAACTGGATGGAGATAACGAGATTGTAGTTTTATTATAAGCAAACTTGTGCCAAGGATGTCATACTAGATCATGGGGATAAAAAACGAATTTTAGAAAGATCTCAGGATGAGAATAACTGACATTTCAATAGGAACTTGGCAATAAGTGTTCCCATAATCCAGGCAGATTGTCTATCCTCGGGTGAATGGAGTCAGGGAGAGGGAAACAGACTGGCTTCAGGCACTGGCTGAAAGCT